CTAACTTTCTCCGTATTATTCCAATTTTTGTGTATGTGCTGCTGAAGTGAGCACTATTCAGTTGTTTTTAATGTCAAATTTTATCCTTTCTCTTATGAGAAAACACACTCTTTCTATATCCTTTCTCTTATGGGAAAACACATTTTTTTATAGTGTGATTCAATGTTTTACTTCTTTTGACAGAAGAAAACTTCTTTTCCAACTCAACTGGTTGGTTAGTTAATCACATAAAATGATAACCACATTCTTTAAGCATTTTTTTCACTTAAAATGTATAAAACTCATTGATCTGCTAAACTCTTCTTTGAATATGGATCTGCTGATTGTTGTTCTGAATTGTCTTCTTTTTCCATAAAACACACACATAATGCATTGCCTATGATTATCCAGAGTTTTCAGCTAGAACTCAGACTTCTAAGGTTTCAAACTCGGTTCCACCATGTAATTATTTAGAGCATCTTAACTTCTCTAAGCTTTAATTTCCTCATTTGTAAAATTATAGTAATAATAGTACCTACCTAATAAGAGAATAAAATGAGTTAATACATATTAATCACTTAGCACATTTGTCTGGCACATAATAAGGGTGCTATAGGGATTTGCATTAAAATGGAACAAGCACGTGTGGAGCAATCTGAAGGAAGAATTCTTTTAAATTTTTATTCTTTTTTCCATATTTTTAGTTGCCTTGTTACCTCAAATCTGGCAACAATGGTTTTTAGCAGCTTGCCTTTATCAAGTCTTTCCAAAGCACTTAGATTAATTTTCATATTAAAAACCCCACTTTTTTCTTTCTTGTACACATAGTTCATCAACAAACATAAACAAATTTGGAGAAACATTGAACTCTTGAGTGTAAAACTCTACTAGTGGAAGAATTGGTGGGGATTACTAGCCAAGTTTTTAAGGTGCTGAATCAGTCAATATTTTTAGTGAGGCACTGGAAAGTTTCAGTTAATTTGATTAATTGATTACATTGAAGTTGGTTAATAGGGTGTGTACTAGAAATGTAACAAAGCTATCTTTTCTTTATCATTATTTTTAAGCTAGCAGTGACTAGACCATGGCAAATTTTAAATGGGCACTGAGATGCCCCAGTGCACAAACTAGTTTAAAAAGTTTTAGCACTTTCAAAATAAGTGTAAAGTTTTTCTCAGCAATGGAGATTCCATTTAGGGCATTACAACCTCAGTATAATAACGATTTAATAAATTAAGTAAAGCGTCGCATTATATTTTATATGTAATGAAGAAGGTCAAGTTTAAATAATGGGTTGGAATGGTAGTAGACAGGCTTCAAACAAGAATTCCGGACTGGGGATAGAAGAATGTCTCTGCTAGTGCTATACTACATTCTGCAGCATATAAAACTAACTCAGACTGGATGAAACACACTACAGGATCAAATGAAAACAACTTTTAATAATTCATTCATTTAAAAAGCATAATTGAGTGAGCTCAAATTTACTGAAAGCTAGTTTACCTAAACCAGTTTGACTAAGAGTTTCTAATGTATTCAAAAGTATACAAAATATGAAATAATAGAAAAAGACAACATCAGGATGCAAAACATCTACCCACTTACAAAAAGCAGCAAATTTTATAAATAATTATTAAACACACAAGATTGAGATGGAAAGACCTTGAACAAATGGCTTAAAATATGAAAGGCAAATGGACCTTATTTAAGATTTTAGTCAGACCCTTATAAGCCGTAATTTCAAAGCTTTGGTCTAGTGTTTTTCCTAATGAAACAATCATTAAGAGGTTTATTCTTCAGCGATAGGCCTATTTCTTATTCTGACAGACTCCAGAGGACACAATTTGAAAAGGAGTGGGAGCAGAGATTGAGAATCCAGTGTCTGCTGGGTCTGGGCCGACATTGTGAATGAGTGACATGCCTAGAGAGGCAACACAGTGAGGGTGATTGTGGTATAGAGGGAGATGATGCCCTATCTAAAAAGGGCAATGCCTATGCACCTCCAATGGGTAAAGGCCATATAGAAATAGGGGCCCAGTATGGCTTGGCCTGCTGATTATTTTCAAAAGAAGATAGAAATCTAGATTTTTAGCTTCATTAGTTATCAGTGCAATGAAAAAAATATTTGTGAGCCAATACTCTATCAACAAACATACTGTTTCTGAGCATTCATATTTCTCCTTAGAAGATGTGTGTGTGCACATGCATGCGTGTGTGTGTGTGTGTACGTATGATCTAATAGTTATCTGCTAGATAACTGAGAGAATAAAGAGGCATTTTTACAACTCACATTTGAGAGAAAAGAGGCTTGGATGGCAGTGTAGATGTCCTTGGGGACTGTTCTACAGTCCTTGGAGAGTGCTCATGGACATAGGGAGTCTCTTACTCTTGTCTGAACAACTCCAAATAGTGGACGTGTATTGTTTTGGGGGCGTGGTAATTCACGGGGTAAGGCCATCCCTTTTATGTATGGAAGGGGTTTCAGCAAAGATGAAAGTGTAGCATTGCACACTGAAGTACAATGAAGGTGGTGTTCATATAGTAAGACACAGACCTCAGGACAGAGTTAAAAACTAAAGTCAGCCACAAGAGGACCTGCTGTGAAGGGTTTGACTTCTTGCCTTTGTTTCCTTTGAACTATGAAAATTGTTATTATTAGCATAGTGTTAAAATCTTTTCGCTAACTCATATGATTCTCCTGGTTTATCCCACCCCTTCAGTTAAAGTCTGACGTAGCAATATATTGACTACGTGTTTATATTAGTCAAAGGCTTGGCAGGAAACGCATGGCAAATTCAGTTTAACTGAAGAGGGTTTAAAAGGGAGGCTATTAACAGAGGTGTGAGCAGGGTTAAGGGCATTAACAAGGGATGTTGATACAAACATGGACTTGCAAGGCTGGCAGCTACCAGCACACCTAGGCCTGAAGAAGTAAGGGGACACATGGTGTTACTAGAACTAGGTGAGAGCTGGAGCTGTGTGCGGAAGAGGGCCTGCCTGGAAGAAGCAGTGTCCTTGGAGGAATGCAGCCACCTCCAGGACCACAGCCACTCAGGAGAGGGCAAGGCAAGACCCTGGCCTCTTTCTTCCTGCAAGAATGGCACTTCCCACCATCAAACCTAGTGAGAAGCCAGAGGGGAAGGGAGCCCCAGTGGTTCAGTTTAAAAGCGTCAGTCTCCAAGGGTGCACATAGTAGGGCAGACAAGGGTGAAGAATGGATACGGTCAGTGGCAAATGAAGTATAACCAATACAGTATTCTTTAAAATAAGAAATTACAAATAATTCACCAGATTATAGTAAGGAAAAAAATCTGTTAGGAAAAAATGAGTAAAGATAATGAAGCTTTTTTTTTTTAAAGATTGGCACCTGAGCTAACAACTGTTGCCAATCTTCGCTTTTTTTCTTTCTGCTTTTTCTCCCCAAATCCCCCCAGTACATAGTTGTATATTCTAGTTGTGGCACATGAGACGCCGCCTCAACGCGGCCTGACGAGTTGGTGCCATGTCTGCGCCCAGCATCTGAACCAGTGAAACCCTGCGCCGCCGAAGAGGAGCACGTGAACTTATCTGCTCCGCCACAGGGCCAGCCCCAATGAAGCACTTTTGTAGCAGGTGGATTTATGGCAACATGATGAAGATAGTTTTGTAAAAATAGTTCCCTTCTAATCTACTAAATTATTTGAAAGAGGTAACATAAATGACAGAGGAGTGTTAGTCAGTGAATATAATTTATTCAGATTCTGCAATGCATTGTGATAATGCCTTCTTATACCTATGAAACACACTTAATTCTCATGGAATAAGGAATACGGTAAATTGTCATAGGTAACTTGATAAGACAGCAAATTAGACAAGGATTTCATATTAATTCAATTAATAGGAAGTTAAGATACAGGGTACAGTAAGTCATTTCAATTCATAATCTGGAATTACATATTTTGTAAAAAAAAAATGTGCAAGGAAAAAACCCTGCTAATCCTGGCCGATGGAAATTTAAGAAAGTTAAACATTAAATAGAGCTAACAAACTTCATAATTAGGCAACATTATTGTAAAAAACATAATCATACTTGCTTGTCTTACTCTTGGATGGCGCTCTGCATGCAGCTGGTGTTTTTCAGACCAAAGGTGAATTGGAGTCTCGGTGCTTCTCTGCCTTTAGGACCCACCAATAACTGCTGGCTCTGCACATCGCCCTAAAGGGCTCCCGAGCTCTGGATGGATGTACCGGTTGTACTTAAGGGAGTGTCTCTTTGAGTGTTCCCAGACACATTTGCTACTGCATGGCATCAGCCGCTTTTTTCCTCTCCTGCTGCTTTTGGTTACATTCTGTCTGTAAGAAAGGTGCCAAAGCCATTGAAGCCATCACTGTCCCAAGTGTGTCACAGGTGGCAGCATACAGCCTTTGAGAATTTCTCTCATGTCCACTTTGTTACCTGTTCCCATAAACAAAAAGTCCTATGCTCATAGGTCCCTCAGAGGTTTCAGTAAAATGTTTCTTAGATATTTTTCTTTTGCCTCCCTGCTCAGGTTCTAACACTCATCCTTGGAAGGAACTGGGTGGAAGCAGAGTCCTGAGGAACACACTCAGAATTGCCTTTTCTTTCACACTGGTCTTGTGCCCTTTGAACGTTCTCACCTCCCTTAGGATGAACCTCTCCTCAGAGCCATGCAAAGACACCCTTCAGGTCCTCTGTATGTCCATCATGTATCTGAATCTCGGGGTACACACAGCTTGGGTTTAATGGAGCCCTCCTATTACACAGCCGCTACTTCCTGAATCCGTTCTGTGAGCTGTATAAATGGTGAGTTGCGGTAACACGGCAAAAACCCCCACCCTCACTGTCAACCACGGAAGGAGTCGGGCCTCTTCCCATAGCGGAGCCTTGAGAACCGGGGCGTCTTACTCTCCCTAGACTTCTATAGCCCTCCTTCTAGACGGGAGTCAGGACAGCAATGCATTCTTGTATTTTCTGGAAGAATTGTGTGTTTTATACTGTTGAAATAAATTTCCAGGCCCAAGATGGAGCAGCTCCTGCCTGGGGTGCCACATCAGCAAACCAAAACTTAGATCTAACTTTCCAGACCTTGTAAATGCTCCGTTCGACCAGAAACTGACCCGAAACGCAGTATATTCAGTCTGCCAATCCCCAAACGCCACGCCAAGTTTGGGCCTTCTCACCCCAAACAAGGTTGACTATGTGGCCCCAGCCAATCAAATATTTTCTATTTTTCTCTTCCTTCTTCTTTATTCTTTATTCTATAAAAGCTTCCTGGTTTTTGCCCCATTTTGCAGTTCTCCAAAGGAGGCTGCTTCATGAAGTGGCAAATAAAATTTTTGTTTGTATCACCTAAACTGTCTTCCTTAGTCATTGTTAACAATACCATTTATGATGGCACAAACTAAGAAAAGATAAGCAATTACCAGTACATATTTTAGAACCTAGATTATTACAGTTGAAAAGAAATTTTAGTTAGTAACCCTTCTATTCTTATTTCTATGCCCAGCCATTACTATTTTCTTTTGACCTTTGGAGAGATCTACTAATTTTTCAAAATACAATCTCTTTTTCCTGATGGCTCAGGATGCTAGTTACTCCCTATCTTTCGGTCCCTGCGTATCCCTTTGACCTGTTTTATTTGCTTGGGTTAGAGCTTTGTCATCTCTCCCAGAGGAGCCAGAAAAGCATCTTTTATTTATCCATCAAAAATTAACCATTAACAATTATCCATAGTTGTTTATCATAAATTAACCAGATGTCACTGAAGCTGAGGAACTGCAATGAAGAATCATGTGCCACAAAAAAATGTTGCCATCCCTATTTTCTAATGGAAAAACTGAGGCACTGAGTGGGGACATAACTTAGGTGGGGTTGGCTGTGCCAGGAAAGCTTGACCTGAACATTTGGCTTCTAGATTATCAGAGGCCTCTCCTCTCTGAGTCTGTTTTCTCTCCATCTGTCCCCTCACTCCCTCCAATGCTACTCCTATTCTATCTCTCTTACTTGATAACTACGGGAAGAAGAAAAATGCTAACCCAGTAGTAACGACAGAAAAATTGTTAAATGGAATAAAGTAATTTAGACAAACATGAGATACTACTACACATGGATGAATTTTGGAGTATTTGGACTCAATATTTTTTAGATAAAAATGACTAAGAAATAATTCCCAAGATTTCCTAAAAACCTTGGGCTCATTTCCTGAAGCAGTAAAAAAGAGATGTCCAGAGATAGAGAAAGAACTTATTAACCCCTAAGGCTGGAGCTTGGTGAGGAACTCAGCCCCAGTTCAACCTAATCTAAAAGAAAGACAAGACTGGAAAGGAGTGCTCACTTCTAAGTCTAGAAAACATAAAGCTGCATAAGTTGTGCACACTCTTCTACAAAAGTAAAACATCTTCCTAAGAATTTTGTTGGTATTGTTACTTTTCTCAGATATAGAAAATTTTTAAAAAACGCATTTCCATAGTTTAGATAAATATTTCAAACAAGTTTTACTTCTGCATGCATTAGAGATAAAAAAAATTAACTCTAATTAGTGTTTTGTTGGTGCATGTGATTTACACGCTTGGCTTTGAAGATCAAAAAATAATGTATATGTGCTTACATGCTATTTACTTTCTCCCACACACTCTGATATTATCTGGCCATTTTCTAATTTAAAACATTGGCATCAAAAATACTGAGTCATGGCTGTATGTGTGTATAAACACCAGAGTTTCAGGGTGGCAGTGAAGCAGGAGGAGGGTGCAATGGTCAGATGTACTGGCTGTGATGTTAGATTTGAACATTAGTTACGTGGCCTTGGGAAAGTCACTAACTTTTTGGATCTTCAGTTTCTTCATCTATAAAATGGGAATTAAGTGAGATACTATATGTACAGTGCTTAGCACAGTGTCCAGCATGAAATAGGTGTATGATACATGTATAATAGTACATAGTCTCTGGAGCCAGGGATCCTGGGTTAAAATCCCAACTCAACTACATATTAATTTGGCAAGTTACTTAACTTCTCAGTGCCTCTGTTCCTTCATTTGTAAAATGAGAATAATTATTGTGACTATCTCATAGGGTTGTTGTGAAGATTTAAACAGTTAAAACATGTAAACTCCTTAGAAAAGTGCCTGACACACAGTAAGTGTTCAATAAGCATCAGCTATTATTATTATTCTAAAATTGTGCTGTCCAGTATGGTAGCTTCATGTGGCTATTGAGCATTCAAAATGTAGTTAATCCTAATTGTGGTGTGCTCTAAATGTAAAACACGTATAAAATTTCCAAAACTTAGAATAAAAGAACATAAAATATCTCAATAATTTTTTATATTACATGTTGAACTGATAATATTATAGATATATTGAGTTAAATAACTAGAATTAATTTCACTTGTTTCTTTTTACTTTTTTAATGTAGCTACTAGAAAACAAAAGTACATCTGTCACTTGTATTATATTTGGATTGGACAGAGTTATTCTAGAATAGAGAAATCTTAAAGCAAGAAGTTCATGAAAAAGAACCTTACCTTTTAGTTTAGTTCAAAATCCAGGCTACTTGTGGTATGCTTTTTTGTTATAAAGAAAGAGTATCGAGGAAAGGCAAAGGAATCACAAAGTACTAAGTGAAGCCATTAGAACAGGCGAAGAAGTTGCTGGAATTTTAGGTTGCATTAATTTTTCCAGGAAAAGTTAACTATTCCTTTTTCCTCTGGAGTGTTTTTTTCAGTTTTTGGATCACATTCTAAGACAGACATGGGCAATCAGGAGTATATCCTTGGTAAGTCTCCTAGAAGATGAGAGGCTCTCATCACCACACCATGGAAGGAAGGAAAGAACTGAGGGTGGGGAAGGACATGGACACACAGCCAAGTGAGGAGAAGATTTAAGAAGCATGATAGCTGTTGTCAGTACCAGGAAGTTTGCCATGTGGAAATGGAATCGACCCAGAGGGTTCAATTAGGTCTAAGTTACACAGAAGGTGATTTCAGGTCTAATATAAGGAACAACTTTAACAATTAGAGTTGTCCAAAAATGGAATGAACTACCTTATAGAATATTCAAGACGTTGTCATCAGAAATTTAAGCAGAGAATTACAGAGAGAGTTTATACACCAGGAGCTAGAAGACCTTCAAAAGCTTCTCAAACTCTGAGATTCCATGCTACTAATTCTGGAAGAGAACTCTCAGTTCATGCATTATGACTAGAATAACTAGAGTCCCATGGTTTTAATTAGGTCTTTGTTGGTTTGTTTAGAAGATATAGAAATTCACAGGTACTAGCTCAAAAAAACAAAACAAAACAAAACAAAACAGGGGTTATTCCATGGCTATATATGGTAGATAGGATCTCCCAAGCACACAGAAAGAGGGACAGTGATACAGCAGGCTTCACGGAAACTCTAACAGGAACTGAGGCAGCATTTGCTATCTTCCTCTCAGAGGCTGGTTGATCTCTTTCTTCTTCATGATATCTCAGCTTTTCCCAGCATCCTCACTCCATTCTATTCTTGAAACTGACTAGCTTCATGTAACTACCCATGCATCATTTCTGTTTGCTAATAATTTCAGCTTGCCTTTCGAGGCTTCTCCAGCCTTGAATCTACTCCATGACCTTACAGCTTGAGTTCTCCCACCTAAATATTTCAGTCTTTCATTTTCCCAAGTTCAGTTTTGTGAGAGGAACCGCTGGCCTAGCTTTTCCTTTCAAGCCAGATCACTGGCTACAGTATGGATGGACTTTCCTTGGGTCAGATGGCTTACACTGAGCCAAACAGCTGGGGCTGGGGAATTTTATTTATGTGGCGGGGGAAGTTTCCACCAGAAGCAGGTGTGAGTGGGACAGGAAGTTATTGATGTTTGTAGTATCTCTATTGAAAGATGGAGGTCATGGAGTTCATACCCAGAAATTTGGGGATCCACTTAAGTTGATTCTCTGTATTAGGAAAAGAGAGCCTATTCAAAAGTTTCTGGTTTGGGACTAATGACAGAAATGTGAAGTTTGCTCTAGGATATGTTCTAAGACCCTGCTACTCAAAGTGTGGTCCATGGACCAGCATCATCATCAACATCGCTTAGGAGCCTGTTAGAAATCAGAATCTCGGGTGCCAGCCCAGACCTACTAAATTAGAATCTACATTTTTAATAAGATTCTCAGGTGATTTGTAGTCACACTAATGTTTGAAAAGTGTGGCTCTAGGAAGAATTGGTTTGGTTTCGGCCTTGTAAAAGTTACCAAAGGCTTTTACTAGGGAACTCCCAGTAGCGTGCTATAGCCATGGGAGAACCAAGTGCTAAGTTGTCAGAAATTTTGTGAGCTGGTTGATTTAATGTTTGGTAGCTTGAAAATAGTTATTGTGAGAATATTTACAACATGGAGATGGGCAAATTCTACAAATTCATTTCTTTTGTACTGGTTAGCCAGTTGTTAAACATTTACCAGCATTCACTGGATAGTTCTAAATCCCCTAACTCCATCTGGAATTAAAATAGTCTCCTAGGGGTTTTTGGACAGAGAAGCTCCCATATATGGGAGGGCAAGACAAAATGAGTTCCAATTCTTAATCACACTTGCAACCTCGTGGCTGAGAAATCACTATTATAGACAGTTATTTATTTATGAAAAAATAATCAGAGTTTGAAGTAAGCATAAGGAGGGAAGGGAATCTAGGGGTTGGTAATACTTAAAATCCAGATAGGCAGACAGGCAGAGTCTGGAAATTCTCCTAGCTGACAGCTGGACAATTTTGGAGCTGAAGTCCAGGTGTGGAATAGCAGTTTCTGTCTAGAGGAGGGGATAAGAGTAGGTCAATTCTGGTCCTAGAGACACCACATAGGGAAATTTATGCTTTTATTGCCTATATTATATTGAGTATAAACTCATTAAACAAAACAACTGCTCCCTAAGTTAATGGTAGGTATGGATGCAAATGTTTCATGGTATTAAATGGGGAGTGGTTTTTAAACGTGGTCTCTGGACCAATACATCAGCATCATCTGAGAGCCTATTATAAATGCAAATTCATGGGCCTGCCCCAGGCCTATTGGATCAGAAACTCTGGGGGATGGAGTCCAGCAATCTGAGTTCTAACAGGCCTCTGTGTGATTCTCACGCACACTACTGAAATAGAAAACGTCATGGAGTTCCTTATTTTTGTTCAATAAGAGAATCCATTTTTCACTTGAACCCCAACTGGGAAGTGACTCTTCTTGCAAGGAGTTTCTAGCTCAACTGGAAGATGGTTGAGGAAGGTAGAGAACATAGGTCAAGAGAACCACAGGGCTGAGCAAACATTTAGAAGCATTTCTCAGGGAAATTCGCCAAGCAGGCAGGAAGCTGGCAGGTTGCCAAGACTCCTGGAGAGTATAAACCTTCCTAGAAATCAATTGGGGAAAGTTGAGTTTAAAGTGAACTTTGAGGAAGTGCATAAACACAGCCTAAAGACTTTCTGCAAATACTAATAAAAGTTCTGATAAAAAGAAAGCGACATCCTAGCACATCTAGGGACTAGAACAGCAAGTATCATATTAAGAAATAAGCAGATATTGGAAGAAGGGGCACTAGAACAGCTTATTCATTTTGCCTCTCTGGTTAAGTGCTCTCATTGGTTCCTTACTAATGGCAACATTGCACATTTAATGAGTATTTATTCTGTGCCAGATACTGTGTGTAAGTACCTCGGTAAATTATCTCATTATTGGGTCCTTTTCACAGATGAGGAAATCAAGGCCCAGAGAAGTATAGTAACCTGCTAGTAAGGTCACACAGCTAGTAAATGATGATACTGGGCTTCAAACCCAGGAAGTTTGGCTCCAAAGAACTACTGCCTCACCAAAATAACCTACTGCCTCTCTTCACTGAGCGGCTCATTATGTATTAAATATTTAGAGGTCTGGAGTTCCCATTTCAGTGCGGACTTTTGTAGTTTTTATAAGACTCAGGCTAAAGAACTTCTTATGTATTGTTATATACAGATAACTGGACTGTGGACCCAACCGACTCATGCCATCAAGTTCTGATGCTCAAAGTGGGCACTCAGGCAAGCTGTACCTCTCCAGACACTGCTTTAATAAGGCTACTACTACAAGCAGACTGCGTGTTACTCTGAGTCCCAACAGCGAACATTTAAATTCTGTTGTCATAATAGGAAACATAAAGAAGTGTATGCATGGGGGCCAACTGACCCCAGCTATGGAAAGGGAGGGACGTAGAGTCTGAGGACCAGCACCTCTAATCTGGGTATTAGTTTTTGTCTGAAATAGATTTGGTGAACTTGTCCCAATTCTGGCATTTACCCTCAAACGAAATTCATTTTTAAGTATCATGAGAGCAATGGCTGTGTTGCTTTTAGTCACCACATCAAACACACTGCTTGACACATGGCAGGCACTCACATATTTGCGAAAAGAAGGGAGAAAGGGAAAGAAGGGAGGAGAAAGGAGAGGAAGTTATAGAGGGAGATTCAAGTTCTTTGAGTTTTTTGTATTAATAGCTATAAATGAACGTGGAACTTTTGAAGTAACTGCTTAGGTTTTAACAGCAACAGGACAATAAATTAGAAAGCTTCATGTAGAGGAGTACAATATATAAATATGAAATAAAGCATTTGTGAAATTCTCACTTTGATCCAGGGCCACTTCCAGTGGGCAGCTTCATGGAAGCAAGTTAATTTTGCAGGTTTGCTATTCTAATTAAGTCACTAATTCATGCATGCATCTATTCATTTATTCAACAAACAGGGCCTCCTACGTGCCAGGTATTGTAGTACGTGCCTAGGTTGCAAAAATGGATGACTTGATTTCCGCCCACAAACAGCTCAGATGGTGATGGTTGCACAACTCTGAATTTTATAAAAACCACTGAATTGTATAATTTAGATTGGTGAATTGTATGGTATGTGAATTACATCTCAATAAAGCTGCTTTAAAACAAACAAAAATAGGTATATGCCCTGGATACTGTACAAAACCAGGAAGCGCTGGTCAAAACTCAGCCTGGGAAGAAAGGAAGGAGGCTTCATCAGTGAGTAAAGCCTGAGCTGAAATCTTTAAAAAAAAAAAGTTACCTAGGTGATGTGGTAGAAGATATTCCAAACAGAGGGGACAGAACGAACAGCCATGGAGGTGAGAAACCGTGTGTGTGTGTGTGTGTGTGTGTGTGTGTGTGTTTGGAGGAGGAGGGGATGTTGGCAAGGGGCTGAGGCTGGGGAGGTGGGCGGAGGCTAGAAGCGAGCTCCAGCGGTCACTGGAGGGTTTTATTTAAACTGGCAAGTGATACAATCCGTGATCAGATTTGTTTTAGATAAACCACACCCGACAGCTGTGACGTAATGGAAAGGATACTGATTCTTTTTTTTTTTTCAGCCAGAATAACCTGTGCGTAGGTTTCAGATCTGCCATCTTAAAACTAGAAGTGTTATATAAATTTGTCAAGCATTATTCAGTTGATCTTAAGGGCACAGCTTGCCAGCAGGGGTGAAATGGAAAGCTGATTAACGCGAAGAGTAACTTAAAACCGCGCTGCTCCTGCGCTCAGTTAAAAGAGAAGTGTTGTCGACGAGCGGGACCCCCACCTGGGGTGGCGGTGAAAGCCTGGCCAATTTTTTAAGTCTTTACAAGGCCCGAAATGTGGTGGTGGAAGCTGGTGAGATTCTTCAGATTTTCTGTTTTTCATGCTTTCCTGCTTACTCTCACAATCTACTAAAATGAGTTCTCTGTACACTTGCAGAATCAAAAAGAATAAAACAGAGCATCGCCTTCACGACCTATTTTTCCAGGAAGGGCACATGTCCCTGAAGCTGGTAAAACTGTAGTACCGGAACCACGAAACACAGGTTCCTAAGCAGCACGGAAGAACGATGGTAACACCGCCACGGGGCAGCCGCGTCGAGCGCCCTCCCCAGTCAGCATATTTTGGTTCCCGCCCCTTCCCTCTTGCTCCTTCTAATCCCTTCCCCCTCCGCCAATTCCGGAAGGGAACCCTTTTAAAATCTGATCCAAGCTGGAGCGGAGGACCAATTTCGTGAACACAATCCGGAGTGGTCAACATGGCGGCGGCCGTTAGATGCCTCGGTAGAGGTAAAGCACGGGGTTTTCTGGCCTTGCGGGGAAAGTAGCTCCAGCGCGGAGTCTCTTGTTGCAACAGAGTGCAAGTCGCACCGTCCTTGGCACGGATCTGCGCTCGGGGCTCGAAAAACCTCCTGCTTTTTTTGGGCTCTAGTTTCTCCAGAGGGTCATTACTACTTAAAAGAGACCTTATTACAGTTTTCACTTCTTTCTAGAGCCGTCCACCTACGGGTGAGGTGGGAATGGGAGAGGGGTGTACGTTGACATCTTTCCAGCACCCACAGGGACAGAGGCAAGGACACGATTCTGTCTTCGGTACTGGGGATGTGGGCTGCAGAGGAAAGGAGTTTGATACCTGAAGTGAGTTCTGGTTTGGAAAAGGTGTATATCTTAGTGGCTTACATTTATAAACTTTAATAGTTTACAAAATGCCTGTTATTGCTTTCGGAGTACATCGTTGCAGGCGATTCCAATTCTTAAATTTCCAGACGTTGCCTAATTTACATCAACATTTATCATTTGGAGGCTAATTCTGTAGTACTACTTCGTAGCAGCTCTTTTCATCAGTTAATAAGGTCCAATTGTTGGCTTGGATGACAGCCCTTTTTTGGTACAAAGCTTTATTTTTGCTTTGTTTTGTGTTTTTGAAGCACAGTGATATGTATTGTTATTTAATCAAGATAGATCTTTAGGTGGAGGCAGCAGCCACCAGCATCTCCCCCATTTTGCAGAGGAAGAAAATGATCCTGTTAAGTATGTGGCCAAGTTCATATATAACTAGTAAGTGGCAGAGAAAGAACTGAAGCTTCACTCCTAAGCCAGTGATTCTTTTTTTTTTTTTTCAAATGCATTGTAGCATTTTTTTCAAATGCTTCTCACAGGAAAGCTCAGTGTCAAGATCTGCATTCTCTATTTGGGATAGGTGTTGCTTAAAAGATAGGGGGGAGGGGGAAGATCACAGCAGATCCCGCTAACTACTAAATGAGCAAATCAAAAAGTGTATCCTTACTGAAAAGAGACTGATGGCATTATCTTTATGTATGATAGAAATAACATGTTAGACAAGAAACCAAAAAGAGAACCAAAGGTTATCGCTTTCTTCTTGCCACATTTTCTTCTCTCTCTTAATTTTCTTTTTATCTCATCTGTTACTTCTCACATTACTTTGTTGATTCCTTCTCCTCTCCCCAGTCACTTCCTTGAAACTCTCAGGAGCCGGAATTCCATCCTTCATCCTCTAAATTCTAAATTTTTGTATCTAAATTTACTCCTCTTGCTGGCTCTCAGATTTATATCTCCAGTCAGACGTTTCTCCTAAACTTTAAATCGGTGAGTTTTGTTTTTAGAAGGAAGTTCCTTTTTTTTTTTTTTTTTAGGAAGATTGGCCCTGAGCCAACATCTGCTGCCAATCTTCCTCTCTCTTTTTTTTTCTTTTTCTCTCCAAAGCTCCCTGGTACATAGCTGTACATCCCAGCTGTAGATTCTTCCAGTCTCTCTATGTGGGATACCACCTTAGCTTAGCTTGATGAGCGGTGCTAGGTCTGCACCCAGGATCCGAACTGGAGAACCCCAGGCCGCCCAAGCAGAGCGCGTCAACCCAACTACTCAGACATGGGGCCGGCCCCTCTCCTGAACTTTAGATTCTTAAACTCATCTGCCTTTTCTAGATCTCCACTTGTATATCTTATCAGCACCTAACTCTTGTCTAAATTGAACTTATTATCATAGACCAAAGTCTTTCCCGTCTCATTTGGTGGTAACTCTATCTTTTTAATTGTCCAGGCCAAAAATTCGGAATATTCTCAACTACTCCTCTTTTTCTCACACTTCACATTAAATAGTTGGCATATCCTGTTAGCTTTACCCTCAAAATAAATCTAGAATCTTGCTTCTTGTCATTACTCCGCTGCAACTACCTTCTAAGCTGCTACCATCCCTCACCTGGATTTCTCTACAGTCTGTTCTCAACAGGTAGTGAAATTGGACCTTTAAGAACTTAAGTCATGTTCCTACATTCACAACTCTGTAAAGTCTCCCCATTTTTCTAAAGCCAAAGTCCTTAGAAAGAACGGCCTATAGCTGTGCTGTCCATTTTGTTATCCATTATTGAGTACTTCAGATGTGTCTAATCTGAATTGAGTGTGTCAAATACACATTAGATTTTGATGACTTAGTACCTAAAAAATGTAAAATATCTCAGTATTTTTTTTTTTTTTTTGAGGAAGATTAGCCCTGAGCTAACATCTGCTGCCAATCTCCTCTTTTCGCTGAGGAAGACTGGCCCTGAGGTAACATCCGTGCCCATCTTCCTCTTCAGTATTTTGATGTTGATAACATGTTGAAATGATAATATTTGGAGGTATTAGCTGTAATAAAAATGTTAGTTTTTACTAATTTTCTTTTTTTTTTACCTTTTTTATTGTGGCTATTAGAAAATTTAAAATTACACATGTGGCTTACGTTATACTTCTACTGGACAGCATTGGCCTAGAGTCTTCCGCATCATGTGGTGCCTGCCTTCTCCCACCCCCATGCACCCAGCTGACCTCTTTGACTTCTTCTCCAGCTACCCTCTCCTTCACTCACTGTGCTCTGACCACACTGGCTTCCTTGTTCCTTAAACACACCAAGAACGTTTCTGCCTTGGGAAGACTTTTTCTCCCAAGTCGAGTGGACCTGGAACACTTTTTCTAGATGTTTGCGTGATTAACTTTCTCATTTCTTTTAAGTCTTTGCTTAAATGTCACTTTTTTTAATGAGGCCTGCCTTCACCATCTTACTTAAGATTGCAGCCCACTTTCCCCTTGACTCTCAATCACTTTTATCCAGTGGGTGCCCCCACTACTACCATTTTATGTTTCTTAGTATTGTCTCCCCCCAACTAGGATGTAACCTCCATGGCAACAGGGATTTTTGTCTGTTTTCTTCACTAAATACTTAAAGCAGTGCTAGCACATGTTTTGTTGGCATATTCATTGTCGAATAAATGTATGAATGACTGAATAAATGGACCTTCAACAAAATGCCACCCCTCTTACATGTGTTATAATGAATAATATTTAAAGTGATTTGAATCCAGTTTTTGCTCTCATTTGTTCATATTTCTTTGCTTCATTCAACAGATGTTTATTGTGTCTTCATTTGCCAAATACTGTGCTGCATGTTGGGGACAGAATGGTAAATAAGCTAGACACATGCCCTGCGTATGGTGCTTATCATCTCCTCAGGAGCAGACATTAAATGGATAATTATTTCTTTAATTACAATTGTCGTATGTGCTGTGAGAGTATATGTGAGAGACCTAGTCTATTTTGAGTCTTCAGGGAAGACTTCTCTGAAGAAGTAGTTTATGTAGAGTCCTGAAAGATCATTGGATAATTATGAATTAGCTAGGAGAAGGGGGAGTGGAAAGGGGTAGGGAAGAATGTCACAGATGGAAGGAAGATTATATTTGAAAATCCAAAGGTGGTAAAAAACAGAGTGTGTTCAAGTAACTGAAAAGAGGCCAATGTATTTGCAGCATAGCAGGCATGAGAGTGGTATTAGATGAAACTCACTAGATAGGTTAGAAGTAAAGCATGGAGGACCTTGTTAAGAATTTGCTGTATTCAAAGAGCGAGGTGAAGACACCCAAACGTTTTAAGGATATGATAAGATTTTCATTTTTAAATCGTCCTTCTTACTAGTATGTGGAAAAGAAATGGAGAAGGCCAAAAGTAGAAGATAGAATAGTTTGGAGTATGTTGCAGTAATCAGTGTGGTAGATGATGATGGCCTGAACTATGGTGGTTATAGTGGGAAGGCAGACTAGATGCATAAGATCTAGGGAGAGTGAGGATTATAGTTAGGTGAGAAGCCCTGGGGAACTCTAACCTTTTAGGATCAGGTATAAGACAGTAAGCTAGCAAAGGAAATGAGTAATTTCCATCTCATTGTCAGGAAACCTGACATCGTTAGAAGCTTATTCATCTCTTTTGTTCATTTTTCAATTGGGTTGATCTTACATATTCTGGATATTAATCTGTTGTCCATTATATATGTTGCTATTATATTCTTTCAGTTTTTGGCTTGTCTTCACTTTCTATAAAGTATCTTTTGATAAATAGATGTTCTTAACACTAATGGAGTCACTTTTTGGTTAGTCCTTTTGGGTTTTGTTTGTGAAATTGTTCCCTCCTCAAAGATCATAAAGATACTTTCCTGTATTCTGAAAGACTCTAAATTTTGCCCTTCACATCTAAGTCCTTAGTCCATCTAGAGTTGATTTGTGTGTGTGTGTGTGTGTGTGTTTGTGGTGTGAGATAGGGATCTAAATATACTCTTTTCCCTACGGATAATCACTTGTCTTAATACCACTTATTGAATTCTTTGCACAGTGATTTGCAGTAACATCTCTGTCATGTTTCAGATATCCCTATGTGTATGGGATGTTGCTGGACTTCTTATTGTTTTATTAGTCTGTCTTCCTATACTTGTCCCAATACCAAAATGTCTTAATTACTGCACCTTTATAACAAATCTTGATCTCTGGTAAGGCAATTCCCTCCACTTTATTCTTATTCTTCAGAAGTGCTTTGGGCAACTCTGTGAATGTCTTATCTATTAAAAAAAATGAAATTTAAATTATTTAAAAAGTTCAGGATACATATACATATTCCATAATAATAGAGCTAACATACTCTGTTGAGCCTGAACTAGATTAAGTTAAAAATAAAGACAAAATTGTTCAATTAGATGTATTTACTTGGATTGAGTTTCAAGAAATGCAGTTTTCATTATTATACTTTTTAAAGGATAGTTAAAAATCACAAAATATTGAATATTTTTCCTTTGGGAAACACTGATTAAGGATATAAAAGTTATGAATGTAATGATTGATATTTTTTATGTTTTTTCTTTCTAGTCTTGATAGCTCATCAAAGGCATAGTCTTTCCAAGATGCCTTATCAGACACCTCTTTATCCTTGTTCTGCATATGTTCAGATACCCAATAGACATTTTGCTGCTGCTACAAAGTAAGTATATTTTTGGTTATTTCATTTGCTATCATTTAAAATTTTGATTAAAAAACATTGTGCTTGGTTCTATAAAGACATACAGAGACATATAGTTGTAAAAGTTTATCATCTCTGCTTCTTTGATCTTATAATCCTGAAGGAAAGACATTGACTTATTATAATAATACTTAACATTTATAACACTGACATTCAATAACTAAATCCTTTCAGGAACCTTATGTAGAAACTATTTTTATTATGCTCTTTTTTCGAGACAAAAAGCAAGGCACTGATAGGTTATGTAACTTGCCCCAAATCACAGAGCTAGTAAGTGTTGAAGCTAGGATTTTGTGACATAATAAGAAATATATTGGTCTCTGCCCCCAGTTCCTGACACAGAGCTCCTAAAACCTTTGTAATCTCCTGAGTGGTAATGAGGCTAGGAGCAGCTTTTGTTGTAATATTTGATCTCTCACCTAGTTCCTGATACAGAGCTCCTAAAACCCTTGTAATTTCCTGGGTAATAGCAGTGTCTTTTGTTGTAATGAGGCAACTCTTGGTGGGCTCCTGGATGGGAGCTGGTCACCAGAAAGACCAAGCCATGATCAGAAGCTTGGAACTCTTAGCCTCATTTCCCGTCCTCCAGGGAGGGGAGAGGAGCTAGAGATTGATTTCCTAATTGGTCATGCTCGGAGAGCTTCTGGATTTGTGAACACATCCACTTGTTGGAAGGGTGGCGCACCCAAACCCAGTGGGGACAGAAGCTCCTGTGGTCCAGATCCTTCTGGACCTCATTCTATATACCTTTTCATCTGAATCCTTTATCATATCCTTTATTATATAATAAGCCAGTAAATTTTAAGTGTTTCTCTGAGTTCTCTGTTCATGAAAATTGATTTTATTTACATCCAGCTCTTTGCTAGATGGGAGCTTTTTTTTGTTGTTGTTGAGGAAGATTAGCTCTGAGCTAACATCTGCTGCCAATCCCCCTCTTTTTGCTGAGGAAGACCGGCCCTGAGCTAACATCAATAACCATCTTCCCCTGCTTTATGGGATGATTGCCACAGCATGGCTTGCCAAGTGGTGCCATGTCCACACCCGGGATCCGAACCACAAACCCCAGGCGGCCGGAGTGGAACTTGAGGACTTAACCGCTGTGCCACCGGGCCAGCCCCTCTCTGAGTTTTCTGAACCATTCTAGCAAAATTATGGAGCCTGAGGAGGGGATTCTGGGACCCCTTGATTTATAACCTATTGGCCAGAAGTACCCAGAGGCACTGACTTGCAATTGGCATCTGAAGTTGCGGCAGTCTTGTGGGAACATGCCCTTAACTTGTGGGATCTGATGCTAAATTCAGTTAGATAGTGTCAGAATTATACTGAATTGTAAGATACCCAGATACTGTCAGATAATTGGTTGATGTAGGGAAAAAACCCACATGTTTAGTGTCAGAATTTTGAGTAGAGGAAAATAGTTTCCTGTTTAACTGTATACCGTGTTCTGCATCTTGCTTGCTTGCTTTTAACCTAACAGTGTATCTTGGAAATTGTTTCAGATAGAGCTGTCTAGTCTTTTTTTTTTGATGAGATATAGTCGATATATAACATTATATTGGTTTCAGGTGTACAGCATAATGATTCAATATTTGAATATGTTGGGAAATGCTCACCACAACCAGTCTAGTTAATATCCATCACCATACAGAGTTACAATTTTTTTTTCTTGTTATAAGAACTGTTAAGATTTATTCTCTTAGCAACCTGCAAATATGCAGTACATAGCAACTGTGGTCACCATGCTATGTGTTACATCCCCATCCTCATGACTTATTTATTTTATACTGCAAGTTTGTACCTTTTGACCAGCTTCACTCATTTCGCCCACCCCTTACTCCTGCCTCTGGCAACCACCAGTCTGTTCTCTGCACCTATGAGTTCAGTTTTCTTTTTTTTCAGATTCCATGTATAAGAGATCGTATGGTATTTGTCTTTGTCTGACTTAGTTCACTTATCGTAATGCCCTCAAGGTCCATCCGTGTTTCACAAATGGCAATATTTTATTCTTTTTTATGGCTGAATAATACTCCATTGTGTATATATGCCACATCTTCCTTATCCATTCATCCGTTGATGAACACTTAGGTTGCTTCCATGTCTTGGCTGTTGTAAATAATGCTACAATAAACATGGGTATAATATTTCATTGTGTGAATATACCATAATTTATTTAACCATTCCCCGTTGATACATATTTATCTTTCCAATCTTTTGCTATTACAAATGATCCTGTAGTGAATAATCATATACATAGATCTTGTCAAATATTATCAATTTATTTGTAATGTGAACTCAGAGAAATAGAATTGTTGAGTCAAAAGATGTGTGTACTTATAATTTTGATAGGTGATACCAAATTGCCTTCATAGAGATCTTGCCAATTTCTGTCCTTACAGCAAGTATTATAATGTCTATTTTCCCATATACAGCATAGTCAAAATTTTTGAACTTTGCCAGTTTGATAGGGCATAAGTTGTATCATCATGGTTTTAATTTATATTTCATTTACTATTATTATTGAGGTTGTATATCTTTTCACATGTTTAAGAGCCATTTATATTTTATTTACTGTGAATTTTCTATTCATATCCTGTTCCCCTTTTTTTGTTGTTGATTAGTAGGAACTCTTTGTATATTATAATTTAGCACCTAGCTGCACTGTAACTTTAATATGTCTTAACTGTTATGGTAGAGGAATGAACCAAGTGCTATGGGATCAGAGATGACAGGTCAGTTAATTCTACCTGGAGGAGAGTATGGCAAGAAGTATTTGATCTGGGTCCTGAAAGGTAGATAAAATTTGGCAGGGGAATTGGGAGAAAGGCATTTAAGTGGTACACAGGCATGAAAGTGAATGATAGAGAAGTAGTACTGTCTCATATAGCTTGAAGATAGGATGAAGAAGGAGGTGGCAGAAATGTAACAAGAAAGGAGGCTTTCTTTGCATGTGACTAGTATCTGGATTCTTTTTCGTTGTTGAGAAGTTGGAGGAGTATTGGTTGTACCAGTTTACATCGCCACCCAGCAGTGAGTGAGAGTGCCTACATTGCTTACAACTCTGGATATCATCGATCTTTATTTAAGTTACTTCATCGTATTTCTAATGTATATATTTTGCCCATTTTCTATTGGACTGTTTGTCTTTTTCTTTCTGCTTTGTGCTTTAGAGATATTGTTTTGATAATATTTTATCTTTAAATGTTGTTTTCTTTTATCCTATAGAAATTTTTCATTTTATGTCATCTCTATGTTCTATTCCAGTACAACTTTAAAAGCAATTTTCTCTCACCTAAAGAGGATAGCGTAAGGTTCCACCCCAGTAGTGTAGCAGTTAAGTTTGCGTGCTCCGCTTCGGCAGCCTTGGGTTTGCCAGTTCGGATCCTGGGCACGGACCTACACACCACTCATCAAATCATGCTGTGGCAGGCATCCCACATATAAAGTAGGGAAAGATGGGCACGGATGTTAGCTCAGGGCCACTCTTCCTCAGCAAAAAGAGAAGGATTGTTAGCTCAGAACTAATCTTCCTCAAAAAAAAAAGCATAGCATAAGAATTATATATACTTTTAAAAAACTATGAAAAATTATTAGCAGATAGTTTTTTTCATGTCTGACAATGAGAGTAATTCAATAGCTTGATGAGAATCATAGTATGCATAATTTTAGTTGTGGTTTTAATTTTTTAATGTACTCACTTTGTTGCTGTTGTTAGTGCTGTCAGTTAGATTCCGACTCTTAGTGACCACTATACAGCAGAGCAGAACCCTGCCTGGTCTTTTTATGCCATCCTCTCACCTTCCAGCACTCTATCAGACAATGCTCCACTCCTATTGGGTTTTCATGGCTGATTTTTTCAGAAGTGGGTGGTCAGATCCTTCTGGTATGTCTTAGGTTGGAAGCTCTGCTGAAACCTGTCCACCATGTGTGACCCTGCTGTTATTTGAAATACTGGTGGCATAGCTTTCAGCATTACAGCAACATGCAGCCACCACAGCGTGACAACTGACAGATGGGTGGAGTGGTTCCCTGACCAGGTGGTGGTGAGAGCAGTGACTCTTAACCACTAGACCACCAGGGCTGGCTATACTGACTTTGTAATATACTAAAAAATAGTTTTTCCATGGCCGATTTTTTTTTTTGTCAGGATCTGAGACATGATAGAGGGCCTTGTGCTTGCTTCTTTCTTATTTTGAATCTCCTTAGTCCTCCATGTATGTCCATATTCCCATGGTTTGCCAATGACAGATCCTGATAAAAAAGGCCACTTGGTCATCTCTGACTCTGGTTCTGTTTCTCTCTTGACAGTAGGTTCTTTTTCTTGCTGCTTCTCTGTCTCAAAATTTTTTATTGATTGCTGGACATCTTGTGTAAATCAGTTTAGACTGAAGTGCATAGCACTTGTACTGGAAATGCTCACGCCTCTTCTTTTGTCACAGCCTTGAGACAATCCAGTCAGAAGTTGAGCTAGGTTTTGGTTTTGTTGTTTCTATGGTTACCACCTGCTTCAAATTTCTGTACTGTTACCTTGTGCTTAGGGTGGGGGCTGTGTTGCTGAAATGTTTTTCTCAGTGTTGCTGTTCCATGCTCAGTTTTCTGCCTCACCCGGGCAGCTGCAGCTCCCAAGGGTGGGGGTGGGAGTGTCTCTCTGGTAAACCTCCCCTAGTAGAAGACTGCTGTCACTTGTTAGGTTGGTGATGGGTGCAGGAGGGATTCTCTGTTTGCCATATCCAGCCTTTGTCTTAAGTAGATCCAGCTGGACCTTGGGGACAGGCTTTTCTCAGTATTTTTGTCCCTTCTCCCCTTGGTATGTATCTATTGCTGGTTTTTTCCAGGAGTGTCCGGGCCCTTCCCCAGTTTTATTGGTAAAGGATGCTGTGCTCAGAACTGTTTCCTGCCCTTCCCACAAGTGTAGCAGGTCTAGTGGTTTTTTCCTTCTTTCTTTTCCCTACACACAGTGGGTA